AATAGTTACACTAGAATGAATCTTAGATTGTACCAAAGCATGACAGAACATTTCCTCTATGTTTTCACAATGTTAACGGCATTATATTATATTTCAAATTATCAATCTTGGAACTAGCAACACTTGAACTTTGCATCAGTGACAAAGATCAGGGAAAAAAAAAACAATTGAATACATCAATAAGCAAAGATATCTCAGAGAAGCTCTTGACAATATCAAATGGCAGATGAGTATTTTAGAAAGATAGATCTTACACAAACATGCAATAATATACCATATTAGAAAGTTCAGACTCCTCACAAAAAAAAAGAAAAAAGAAAAAAAGAAGTTCAGACTAAACTACCTGCTCACCAACAGATATAAATTTTAAGCTGATCTCCTCAAATGATAGGATATAATTCATCTGAAACCAAGAGAATATATTTTTTAGTATCAACGTGAACAGGACAACAAAATCTTTTTTTTTAAAAAAATAAGGAACAGAATTAAACAGTGTGGGTTTAACCTTTGCATAGAAGGAAGCTGCTATATAGTACTCTTTTGTATTGAATGCAGTATCAGCCTACAAAAGAGAAGATATTTATACAATAACAGAAGTCATTGATCATCACAAAACAAAAAAGGTCCAGCTTATCATAGAGGGGAAAATAATAAAGGAGAAAAAAGTAGTGCATGGGATCGAAGTGCAAATAAACATCACCTGCACTAGATAGACTTGGTCCCTCTGGAAGGAGTTACGACAATGTGACAGTGCCGTAGCATATTCTTTCATGTCCAGGTATACTTGCCACATATCACGACCCTCATCAGATGATGAAATCTAAATATATAGCTTCATCAGCAACACAATTCTGGACTCTGAAGGCAATTATTACATCAAAGCAAGAATCAGATAGTCTCTAACCTGGAATATAGAATTTTCATCGTATGCATAGAAAAGCCCAGTTGATGCATCACTACAAAGTCCAATTATTCCTTTTGTAACTTCTGGTGAACTATCGACTATAAGTTCCTCCACTATTTGCTGGCTGATTCTGTTCACTACCTAAAAATCACAGGTTATGCTTTTGCTTTGTAAAGGAATACATAAAACAACAGGGAAGACAAAATAGTGACAGAAAGCAAAATGAATCACAGTGAAAACAGTATAGATTTTTTAAAAAGAATTGTACCTTAATCTTGTCCCTGATGAGAAGCAGAAAATGGAATTCAGACAATGCAAATGACCTTGGCTTGATACCAGATTCTCCCAATTTTGAGTAGTCAAAAAAACCTTTATTTTCGACAAAGTTCTCATCCCCACTTGTAGAGCTGCAAAACTAAATTTAGTTTAACAAATTACTATAGAAAATACAGAAAAAAGTAATTATATGGTTATTATTATAGAATGGGAGACAAACTAATAAAAGAAGTGCTGCAAGTTATCCCAAAGGAAAGAAAAAACAGTGTCATATTGAGATCCTAAGAGTTCATGGAGCCGAACTTCATAAAACTGTAAAAGTAGTTCTTTTATATATAATCATCAAAATACACTTAAGTAAGAAGGTGCACACATGCAGTGTGCCAGTGCCAACACCTGGCTCAGTGAGATTGGCATGCATGTCTCTAAAGAGAAGCTCAAACAGCTAGCAGAGAATTATCAAGTTTGAAGTGCATAAGGTTTGCAATATATAAAACCCTGAACATTCATTAGATATAATCTTCTAAGGTACTCATGTAGTCCTATAGTTCTGTTCATAGATAATATCCAGTGACATGATTGACATCAAGTTCTTGAAGGCATAACATTGATCATTAATTCTTGTATGACTATCATCATTCTACCACACTTTATATTTATATTATTAGTAAGATGACAATTTGATTATCTTGATGAGAAAACTATTATTGTTTTTCCTGAGGCCAAAGTAGCTACTTTACATTTCCCTAAAGAACTTATGTTTAGGAGTGGGGGATTACATTACTTGCCACATTTCTTATAAGGTCAAAAGGCACACCAAGGCTCAGTCTATTAGAAAAATATGCCCACTAAGAGAATGCTAGCAGCTTAGCAGTTCAATGACATTTGGATTAGATAACAAAGAAAACATAAGTTAATAATCCACTTCAGTTACATGTTACATGATGGAATCAACTTAAATCCAAAAACTACAGTTCACCTGTGTTGAGCTCCAAAATTCAGTTCACCATGGTAAATTCCAGCTCCAGAAAGCCATCCAAAATGCTTAGCCCTTCTTTGCTTGATAAAGAAATGTAATTCACTGGATTCCATGCAATGGATACATTGTCATAAGCTCACTAAAAGAAAGTATTCTAGTGGGTGGCACAAACTGTAGTTACCACTGTATAGTACTGTATAAATCACATAAAGTTAGGGCAAGTACTATAATGACCCATATGTTGCCCCTAAGAATGCCACATTGGATTGAGTGATGATGTGAAGGAAAGAAGTGAGGAGAGAGATGATGAGCCACCCCTAAATCAAGAGGCAACCTCCACACAAATTTCAAGAAGGATGTGAGAGTATTAGATATATTGGTATTTGTGTACTAGAGGTGATACATTGTATGGATTGCCTCTTAGTTTATGAGTGAATAAAATAGATAAATTTGGAGGTGGTAGTCACATCTACCATAGCACTTGCCCTTATACTCACCTATTTGGAATATCTCCTGGGAGCTCCATAAAGTGTATCGCACGATCAGAATAGCTAGCAAAAACAGTCTGTGCAATATAGTTGTTATTAGATATTACATCAAGAGAAAATGAGTAAACAAATAAATCTTGTAGGGCTGAAATTCTGGAAACCAAGAGAAAATCTTCTATAGAAACTGTTGGCATGCAATGCTGCTCTCTAAAATGGCAAAAGGCATCACAAGCTGTTCTAATCACGCATATCTCTCTGTAAGAAAAGAGGCATACTGACTTCGCGTAGTATAGCACTTTCGAGGTTACTGAGTCACGTTATTAAATCAAGAAACACCGTCCATGAGGACTTTGATATCCGAAGTGAAAAATCTGGGTCTTTCTTTTCACTAAATTCGATCTAGATTGCTCCCATTACATTCTATAATGGTGTATGTCTCCGAAATTTGGAGCTGATAAAATTGAGCAATTGTACTTACTTCTAATGAACCGATGCCCGTGAATGAGTACAACCGTGTTGGTGTGACAGCCATCACATAGAACCTTGTGGCGTTCCCAACCACGGCGGTTTCCATCTGCACAACCAAATTCCTCCATCACGCTCATTCCAACCAAATAACACCAACACAACACAAGTACAGAACCGCAGCCCTCGATGGCCTCTGGCAACAAACTCGAACCTGCAGGCCCTTGATGCCCTCCTGCAGCTCAGAGAGCGTAAAGAGCGACTTCACATACTTCTCCTTCTTGTCGGCCTCGTCTACTGCAATCTCGAAGATCTGCCCATCCTCTGTCCCCAGGATCACCTCCTTGGTCGACGCTACAGCACCGAAACCACAAACAACTCCACAATCAAGAACAAATACACAGCACGGACTGCCGGAATCGAGACACAATTCGATCGAGGAACAGTATATGCAGTAGTATTAGCTCACCTTCGGTGATGGTTTGGCGGTTCCACGCGACGGCATTGACGAGGACGTTGCGGAGGCGGGGGAGCAGCTTGGGGCGCGGCCACCTGGCGTGGTGGTAGTACGTCTCGGCGCCCCCCGGGTGGACCACCGTGGCGACGCAGTGCTTCCCGCCGGGGTCGAGGAAGACGCGGTGCACGGAGTGCTCGCCGGAGCGGCCGGTCCCGAGGTCGAGATCTGCAGCAGCAGAGGAGCGATCAGCGGAAGCGCGAGGCGGCGGCGAAGATGGCGGCTGCGAGGGCGAGGAGGGGAGGACGTGCCATGGGCGTCCTCGAAGGAGAAGTCGTGGCGGACGAGCCATCCGCGGGAGGTGCCGAGGACGATGACGTCGCTGCCGGCAGCCATGGAGGTGACCACGCCATGGCCCCTCGCCGCGTGCCGCTCGAGGGGATCGACGGAGAAGAGCTGCCCGCCGGGGGCGAAGGCGGCGGCGGCGGCGTCCATGGTCGTCGGAGTCGCAGTCGCCTCGCCGGCCGGCCGCCGCGAGCTCGTCGGAGGCGATGCGATTGCGGAGAGGAGACGGCTCAGCCCGTGGGCTAAACGGAGGAGAGGTTTTACGAGCCACGCCTTCATGGGCCGTGGCCCAATTTCAGAAGCCCAATACTCTGGCCCATTATTGTAAGAGAATTCAATAAACAACGAGTGCCCAATTCCAATAAATACCATCAATAAACGTGAGTTCTATCAATGTCATCGTACGACTTTATCCTAAAAATATCGTTGTTGTTAGAGTTTTGTCCCTTTCCATTAAATACATTGTTAATCCTATAGCACTTAACAGAGGGATGGCAATAAAACCCTAACGACAATAGTATTTTTGGACAAAGTTGTTTGTACAAATGATATATCCTGACTAATGAAAAGTGAAACCCAACATACAACTAAAATATACCATATCTGATGAATATTAGTCATTGGATTCACTAAATAAAAAAAAGCTATAATCAATTTTGGCCATACGATGAAACTTAAGTAGAAAAAAACATAGGGTGTTCTGAACCCTTCTAGCAGGTAAGAAGAACTACATACGATAGAAATGTACACCACTGAAAAACCGATCTTTTGCTCGATCGGCGAAAATTACAAATATCTCGGTTTTCTTAAGAACCGGTGCTAAAGAAGGTATTTAGCATCGGTTAAAATGTCTAACGGCACATTGCTATTGTTAGTACCGATACTAAAGATTATTTGTATTCTCGGTTCAATTTTTGTCGGACCTTGTATTTTGTGAAACTAGCATTCACCGATGGTATTTTTTGACTTGGATGTTTGTCAAGTACATTTCTTGATTTTTCTCTCAATGTAAACGGGCCGAAATATAGTTCGAATTTCCGGCCCAATAGGGCGGCCCAAATCGACCCGACACGAAGCCCAGCAAAGGCAAGCATTCCAAAGTGGAAGTGGAACCCTACTCCGCCGCCGGCGCCACCACTTCTTCCCCCCCGACGACACGCCGGCCGCCGGTCGCCGGAATCGATTGCGGCGCGCTCCCCAAGCAGCAGCAGCAACGCGGGAGGAGAGCCGGGCCGCCGCCGGGGAGGGAGCAAGGTGGTAAGCTCCATCCCCCTGACTGGGTTTCACCCTGGCAGCTACCCAATGAGGAGTTGCGCTTCTTCTCTCTGTGGAATTTCTAGAGTGGCTTGGAGGAGGCACGCGGTGGCCGGAGGAGCTCTGAGCCAGCACCACCACCACCAGCAGCGTCACCTGGTGCTCAGGCCACCCGCGCCGCCGCCCATTGGCCTTGCCCTCGAGCGCTTCTTCTCCGCTTCATCCCGGCGCTCCGCCAAGAGATCCGCCGCCGCCGCGAAGCAGAGCAGCCAGCCACCGCCGCCGCCGTCGATGGACGGAGGTGAGCCGTTCTATGTCGTCCGCAAGGGTGACGTCATCGGCATCTACAAGAGCCTCAGCGATTGCCAGGCTCAAGTCAGCAACTCGGTAAAGGCGACGCCGTCCTCTTTGACTGCTCATTCTAGCATTATGTTTATGTGCATTCACCATCTCTCCTCACAAATACAGAAGTACAGGAATCAAACACTTGCTCTCCTGTCGCATTTCATTTGCTATGAATGTCACACCATAAGCAGACATTTGCACTTCATTGTAGCTCAGCTGTATTCCTTGAACGAAAAGATGGGCTACTGCTTTATAGTACGCATTATGCAGCTTTGTTCATGCGTTTCGCAGGATACTAAAATTATTGTTGTGGTAGTGGGTAGAGAAGTAAAGATTAGGAGATAAGAGTGATGAGTGTCATTGATGCAAAATTTAACCTTCTCTTGCTGGTAACACAACGACATTAACGGGTACCTGTAGTCAAGAGCCATTTCTTATGTGAAGTATATCTTACTAGGTATGTGATCCTTCTGTGACGGTGTACAAAGGCTATTCTTTGCGTAAAGAGACAGAAGAATACCTCGCTGCGCGCGGTTTAAGAAATCCTCTTTACTCCATTAATGCAGCAGATGCAAGAGATGAATTATTTGATGACCTAGTTCCATGCCCTTTCCAGGTAAAGACGATGTATGTTTGTGATTTCAGCTTTTTTTCAGAAATATGCCTCTGCACTTGCCAATGTTGCATAGATATGTTAACGTGTTTCCTATTAAAGGATCATTCTCTGTGCCCCCATAGTGTATTGTGCAATGCTAATTTGTTGATGTACAGCAATTTCAGCCTAGACATTTATAATGGATCTTACCTTTCCAGTTACCAAGCACCACTTCCTTAATTATGTTCGCATTTTCTATATATTTGTTTGACCTTATTACCATTTCACTCCATTTCATTATCTGTTTGAACTTCAATCATGCTACACATTATATTAGAAAGACATATATGATCATCATCAGAGTATAATGGCATGATTAATATAGTATACTTAAATACTGAATGCCAAACTGCCCCCAATTCTCAGGGTCTTAGTTTTTCTCACATGTAGTTTCTCATACCTTGAATGTTGAGTTGATCATTAAGTTATATCCACCAAGGTTGTTGCGTTACTATTTGATTCTGTGTTTGCCCATAACATACTGTGTGCCGCTTTTTGTTTCAGCAACCTGATGGAACTGGGACTTCTACTTTAAAAAGGCCACTAGAGATGGTGAGTATCGATCATTTTCAAGCTAAGTGTTAAGATGTGTTTGTGTTAAAAAGTGCCCGCTGTAGAAAATGTGTTGCCTACATATCACATTCTCTCACCAACAATCATTTGCTGAAGGAAACTGGACCGTCAAAGAAACAGCCCAAAGTCTCCGAACAAGAACCATTACCTAATAGTTCTGTGAGTATGAACAATGGAATGTGCTAGCTATAAATGCTTCTGCCTTCTTGCTTGGTTATTTGTCCTAGATATTCAGTACTAACATTTGTACTTGGGGACTTGTCTTCACTACAACGAAATGCTGACTTGTTCTCACCAGTGGACTTCATCTTATACAGCTCTCTTGTCTTCTTGAATTTGATGGTGCTTCTAAAGGAAATCCTGGGAAAGCAGGTGCTGGAGCAGTAATAAGGCGACTAGATGGAACTGTGGTATGTACACAGTACACCTACAGTACTATACTGGGGTGCTTTCTTAATCTTCAATTATCATGACTAACTGGTGATGTGTTTTTACTGTTTGACTGGAGATTGCTCAACTACGGGAGGGTTTGGGTATTGCAACCAACAATGCTGCTGAATACCGTGCATTGATCCTAGGGCTAACATATGCTGCCAAGAAGGGATTCAAGTATATACGTGCTCAAGGAGATTCTAAGCTTGTTTGTAACCAGGTTTGTGTTTTGGTTGAACCTTCACTACTTCTATTTTTCATGCTTTAGCCTAGAATCATCAGGAGATAACTGAATGTTGTACTGCAGTTTGTTGTGACTATGCACAGTCTATCATTCTATTCAAACATTAAATTTCCAACAAATAGAATTTTTTAAAAGCAAAATTTTTAATCTGTGCTTTACTTGATCTGTCATGTTCTTCAGTTTTCCTCACCAAAGAATTTTTTTATCAAATTATCTGTGCTGCATCCATCAACATAAGTGCAAGTTGAGGCATCAGTACATATTTTGAATCAAGGCCTTGATTATCAATGCCTCAATGGATAACAAACTCTGTTGGAACTAATCACTACAGCTCGTTGAAGAGCTTTTCTAGCAGGTGGCAGCTCTATCAATTTTAACGTTTCTTAACATAAGTAACATGTTGACTTTCTGGAGCAGGTCTCAGATGTATGGCGTGCTAGGCATGATACTATGGCTGACTTGTGCAAAAGGGTTAAGGAAATTAAGGGAAGATTTCATACATTTCAAATCAACCATGTTTTGAGGGTAGGTGTTCCATATATTTGCTGTCTTCCACGCTTGCTGTATTTTATTTTATATCAGCTATCATTCCGGTATGGCATATGAATTTTGGCACCACATTACATTATATTGAATTAACTCTTTATTTTCCATTGGAAATTGGCAACTCCCTTATTTGCCCCTCTGAAACTGCCTCTCCAATGGGCAATCATCACACTTCTTCATGTACTATTAAAATTTTTAAAAATCACTCCAAACTACTGGAAGCGAGAACTTCAATCACTGTACCACTCACGTTTGCTTATTATTATGTAGGAATTTAACACGGATGCTGATGCTCAAGCTAACTTAGCCGTTGAACTTCCTGGTGAGAAATTGCTTTCAGAATTCACTTTGCATGCTGTTACAGTGACTTAGTGTTGCACCTGATATCTTCCTTTCTACAGTTGGCGAAGTTCAAGAGCAGGCGAACTTCCTATGACCTAGTGATTGCGATCGAGAGTAATTTGTGCATTGCACCAACTTTTATCGGAGTGAAGCTATGTGGCAACATTCTATTTCCAGTTGATTCAGATGGTCAGACCCAACGACTCGAATGTGGGGCAAGTTTCACCAAGTTTACAGTTAGCCAGCATGTTTGCTAGCTTGAACTGCAATGCTGACATGGTAATTTCAGTGGGAGGAGATAGTCTCTAAATTTCTGTGTAATGGCGTAGGGATGAATGATTAGAACTGGAGGCTAGCAATTATGCTCGTTCCCAGTAGCAATACTACAGAACTGTTAACTATTTTTGAGCCAATATGAGGTGATGCAGCGAGTAGATCCGTGTAACGAGGTACAGATTGAGATTGGCAGTATAACAAAATACAAAGGGATACTGCAGCTATTTCTGTTGCCTGTTCAATTTATGAATTGAAAGGAGAAAATAACACGGGCTATGTTGTTTGCAGTGCCAAAAAAAAAGTAAATAAAGATTGTCATTGCTAAGGATTTGAAGATAGCTACAAAAAAAGGGTAACAAAGTTGTGTCGGGAGTGGAACAAAATTGTTTGAGTGGACTTTATTGTGAATTAAAAGGAGAAATTAACAGGGGCATTTTTGTTTGCATTGTGAAAAAAGTAAATAAAATGGAAGGATTGGAAAATAGCTTAGGAAAAATAAAATGGTAAAAAAACATTATGTTGAGAGTGGGATTTGAACCCACGCCCTTTCGGACCAGAACCTTAATCTGGCGCCTTAGACCAACTCGGCCATCTCAACTTGTTAGTACGTTCGTGTATAATATTTATTTAACTCTGTAACTCTTCCTTGCTTATTGTTTTGTTGATTCAGGATTCCAGGGGAATCCGGTTTGAATTTCGCGAAGTACAGACTTTCCAGACCGTGTCGAAAACACAAACCACTTGTTTTTCGGTCAAGTTCAAAAATTTTCAAACTGAATTTTTTTTTTGACAATTTATTTGGATTTCACCAGTTTGTATGTTTAGTAACAGATTCCATGAAATCTGATGGTATCGCTCGTGAGCAGATTTTGATGATCCGGTAACAGATTCCTGTCACTACTGTCGATTGAATAATACACAATCCGAACAGGAACTCATTCTAAACAGGGCAGAAGAATATGCAATCTATGAAGCTTCACATGGCTGCTTAAGGTAATGATCTGAATCACCTGATGCAGGAACAGCCACCAAACGGAAGGTCACTCAAATGCCTAAATTAACTCTGTTCTTTTCCATGTCTTTTTCCGACTGTTGCAAACGCAGTTTATGCAGAAGAGACTGCAAGCAAGCTCACAGTCACAGATGGGGCAAAGGTGAAAGCTGAACCAAGCAAAGAAACCAACCATGCACAGTATATGAACAAACCGAACAAGAGCATAATGCGATTCATATATCTGACACAAAGCAAGGATCTTCAGAAATCAGTTTCGAGTGGTACAGAACAGACCACCACCTGGTGTTCATAAGAGACACGAGTCATAAGAGACTGTGGCACCAGATTACATGAGTTAATACAAAGGCCTCTCTACTGGGAGAGCATGGATCTTGACTAGGAGAACCATCAGCTCCTGCAGGTTTATGCACCATCAGATTGGAAGGGGTTGGCAATCTCGTCCGTTCCATCGGTTGGCGATACAAGCATCACCGCTGTACCCCTACAGACCTGCAACAAACAGTCGTTGGAGCTGAGGTGTCAGGATGATGAAACCAGCCAAAAAGAAATCAAATGGCAGAAACAAACTAGTAGTTTGCAAGAAACCAAGCTCTTGATTTTGAGATTATTTTTGTTTAATCACTGTTTTGTTGTAAATCTGATCGAATCAACATTTCCAGAAAAAAAAAAAACTAGTGCAGATTTCAGCAAAGTGCAAAATAATCGTATAGCATGGAAATAAAAACTCTCAGAGCTTCCTTCTCTTAATGAAATGATACACACATCTCGTGTATTAGAGAAAAGAACTATCAGAACTACAATCGGCAAGCAATATAAATAATATAGGACAAAGATAAGTCCTGGATATTGAAATCAATACAGTCCTGGATATTGAAATCAATACTGCAAAGAAACTTACAATAAGACCAAGCTGTCTGGTTTTCCCTGATAGTTTCAATGGATCATCTTGCTCTACAAAATGAGAAAGTATGTATGAGAGCTTCACTAAACTTTGCAGGAAAAGATTTAATAAGGCATTTGTTATCTACAACTGTACCACACCTACATTAGCAAGTAGTACTCCCTCCAGTCATGATTGTTTGACAATGGGAAAACTAAAATTTAGTCTATGTGTAATTATTATGCTGTATTCCAGCCCAATCTTCTTTGTACATAACAGTAGATTAGCACCACATAAACATACAAGATGCATGAAGGATGGAAATTTCTTCTTAGTTAAGATTCCAAATACATAGATTTGTGATTTATACTCAAAACTCCAAACCAATGGGGATCAAACAAAACAATGCAATGTATCAACATATGCAGCAGTACCTCTTTCAAATTCAACCGCTTCATCAAGCACCAAGTTTAGAAGCTGGTCATAGCCCTTCAAAGTCCCTGTAACTGCAGATGTAGAAATACCAAAGTTATGGCCTGTGATGTGGTATTAGTGTATTATAACAAACTGCAGGATAACAAAAACGAGTTTTCTGGAAATTGAAACAGTTCTACTGTCATTTTTTAGTCTATTTTCAATCTTTATCTTAATATCAATGCTAATGGCTAACCTCCTTGCAACTACTATAAACAATGTCAAAACTTAAGATATTACATAAGGGGCCGCTCATCTGCTTGACGGAGTTTCTATTTCAATATACAGTTAGCATATGATATTTTACCACTCTGTCCGTAAAATGATACTGAAAAAAGAAAAAAAATAAAGGTGAAAAGTCATCATATAGTTATCAGGATAGCCAACCATGAGAGTGCCTTCACTATCTAGATGAGGTTAGCTACAAACAGAATACAAGGTGTAATTCAAAAATATGCAATCACAGAATCTGGTATCTGTGAGCATACAGATTGAAAGTAAAAAACTGGAAGAGAAGGCGGTAAGCTTCTAGTAGGGCCAAATCCTCTCCACATGCACATATTGGTGTTGCTGAAATTCTGAATGAATGCAAGTGGAATGCTGGTTTATATGTGGTATCATACAGAACACTGGAATCAATGTTTAAGGGATTGAGCGGAGCTCATTTCCAGACTTATTCATTATGAAAGAATATTAAGGAATTAGGAAGTGTCAATTGATAAAGTTGCTACTCGTTAATTTTAACTGGGTGGCGGATGGCCCTTGGACAGCAGGATCCATCACAAGAAATGCTAAAAGATGACCAATTTGTGACAAAACCTTAATTTACCAACCACCATGCTTGAAAACTCACAATTATGTGCTATAAGCATTCAGAGGACATGTTAAAACTAGCCACATGGATGCTGCGCTCGACATCTCAGATCATTACTGTGGACTGGAGCTGATGCGCACAGTGAATTTTACTGAAATAATTAGTAGCTTCTTCCAACCCCATCATTTAGCCTTCAGCTTATAAGCGTAAGTGAAAATTTGAATTTTAAAACTATTATAGAGTTGATTTTGGTGATTTTTCATCGTAGTTTCTTTTGTTCAGCATTTGCTTTTAAATCACCAAGAACTCATATATAAAAGTTTTACCCATAAATTATATTTTTAATCGCTAATTAAACCGTTTCACTTATAATGAGGCTGTTCGAGCTGGCTATACCCTACTCTACAATTTTGCTGCAGACCTAGGATTTCCTGCCCCTGCCACTGAGGTTTCTTGGCACAAAACTATACCCACATCTACGAGTATTCAAGAATCCAGACCTAAACTGGTGATGAAACCAACCAACCTTGCCTGCCGCCGGTGAGCTTGACCTGGACGCCCTTGTCGACGAACTTGGCCAGGTCCAGCACCGTCTCCTTGCGCCCCGACTGCTCCACCAAGACACGAAACCGGAATCAATCCCACCAAACCAAACCAAGAACTAGCACCCGGGATCGATCCAATCGAGCACCCGAAACCCCAGGAGGGGAGAAGAGGGTTTACAACTTACCATCCCGGACCTTAGCCGCGGCCTCTGGTCGCTTCAAATCTGCGAGGCAAGGAGGGAAACTTTGTCAAATTTCGCTGCAAGATCCGAGACGACGGATGGGAGAAGACACGGCGCCCGCCGGCGACGGCGGCGGCGGCTTACCGGAGTTAGGGGGTGGTGGCGGCGGTGGCGGATGCGGGGGTTGATGGTGTTGTGTTTTTCTCTTTTTTTTTCTTCTTTTTTTTTCTTTTTCTCGCAATCACTTTATAGAGGTATAAGGAGGACTTTTCTTATTGGGCCTTCAGCCCATTTTAGAGATGAAGCCTAATTGCTTCAATGTGTATGATTTGAAGCCCAATTAATGGGGTGTTCCTACTGCACGCGCACGCGCCAGAACGGGAAGCCGCGCGTGTTCCTACTAACCCTAGCGCTTACCGTGTAAAAAAACGCAGTACATTTTTTTTTCATGTTCGCACCTCTTTTTTTTTCTCTGAGCGCGTTTTTTTTCCTCCGTTTCTTTCCGATTTTTTTTTAATCTTTTGCACACCTCTTTACAAATGTAGAATTGGAAAGTTTTTTATTTTGACTTGAAATTTTTTAATTTTTGTATTGAAAGTTTTTTAATTTGAGTTGAAAATTTTCAAATTTGAGTTAAAAGTTTTCAAAATTGACTTGAAAGTTTTCAAATCTTGACTTGAAAGTTTTTAAATTTTGTATTGAAAGTTTTTAAATTTGAGTTGAAAGTTTTTATATTTGAGTTAAAAGTTTTCAAATCTGGCTTGAAATTTTTCAAATCTAGGATGAAAAGTTTTAAATTTGGGATGAAAAGTTGAAAGTTTTTAAAATTTAACTTCAAAAACTTTTCAAATCTAGATTGAAAGTTTTCAAATCTGGATTGAAAGTTTTTAGAATTTGACTTCACATATATATTTCTTTTCAATTTATTACTTAAAATAATCTTCGGAAAAAAGACAAATCTTATCTTAATTATTATCATTACCTAGAACTAACCGAATCAGTTTTATACGTATAGAGAAAAAATTCCGAAAAAAATAAACGCGCGTCTCGCCAGCGCAAGCGCTGAGAATGGCTGAGGATGAGACGTGTGGGCCGGCGCGTGCGCGCCAGGGGCGCGTGCGCGCCAATTAGGATTTGCGCAATTAATGTGATGAACAACTGAACTATTTTTGCTCTAGTGAGAACAATTGAATATACGATACTACCCTGTCCCAAAATGTTGCCTAGATTTATAATGGAAAGTTAATATATTTTGGAGCGAAGATAATAATATTTTTTCCTAATAAAAAGATTATCTTGTTTTATTAAAGGTAGAGATAAAGTTAGGTACGAAAAACAAGAAAGTGTTGCGTTTTAATTATTACTAAGTTGAAATAATGATTTATCATGTATTTTAAAATAACTTATATATAAAATGTTTTCACATGGAATATACTGTTTAGCAATTTGAAAAGTATGATAATAAAAACCAACATAAAAATTACTATATCTTAATGGGGGCAAATGGATTTTTTATACTAAAAATCAACGAAAATAGAAGAAGGGTTGACTCTTTCATGAACTCTATCCAAACCATGACAATTTTTTTAAAGTTTTTTTTTGTCAACTATGTTTCAAATCTAAAGTAGATATTAACCAACTAATTGTTTTAGCTATGAGTTGTGTATATCAATGCATTAGGCCTGTAGTTTTGCTAATCAACTACTAGATGTTAGATGTGTTTTTTAAGCTACTAACTCCGTCTCAAAATATGTTACATTTAATATTAAAATTTATCATAAAATACAACTAATAGAATTTTCTATGAACCGTTCCATCTCAACCAATCACAATTTTTCTGATTTAATTTTTTCACCTACTTTTTTTTTCAACCAACCATAACTATTTCTCACCCTAACATTAATGTTTTAAAAAAGAGAGTAGGTAGTTGTATTTTGAGATAGAGGAAGTGATAAACAACTTTCAGAACAAACTTTTATGTCTGAAAAACACATGGTTGATATGCCTAGTTTTATAGTCTTAACTTTTAATTTTTTGGACCTTAAAAATACTCCTACATTCTTATAGAATATAGAGTTTAAACATTTTTTTAACAAAATGAAACAATCCCAACTTCCTCATAGCTCTAGATCCAAAATAATTTTGAGCTAATGTCATTTTAAACACGAAAGTAGCTCAAAATAATTCTTGAGAATAATTAGAGTTTTAAACACGACATTAGTATAAGTAAAAACTATGACCCTAGTGGCTCAAAATCCTGGCTCCGCCCCTACATCCAACTTTTATTGAATAAACAAAAAGGACCTTAAGCTGTGGTTTTTGAGTTTTAGAATTTAATTTTAAAGGTAATTAGTTTTTTTTTGCCGCTACTTTTTCTCCGTCCTCAATTGTACCCGGCCCTTAGAAGCATAAAATTTCTTCATAAAAAATATTATTCATCTTTATCACATATCTTCGTTTTAGAGCGAGTTTAATAGTGTAGCCAACTTCTTTCCCTAAAAATTTAGATATCATCTACAACCACTTTAATAGCCTCTGTATAGTTTTATATAAACATATATTGCACCATTAATACTTGGCCTACTTTTTATACATACACAATATCTTATCTTAAAGTTCGTGTTATAGCTGGGCTACAAATCTGCAGCACTTTTTTTCTTTCTCCTCTTCTCTCTCCTCCACATGTACTTGTAGCTAACCGCCTATAACCTTCTATTACTCTTACAAGCGTTGCGGCCATAAATTAAAGAGATCTCTAAATTAAAAGTATCTTCCAAAAAGATCCAAGGAATTAATTAAATAGTTGGTGGATTGACCATTGTTTTTTTATATATTTTTTAGCTGCTAGATTATCATGAGCACGCTTCCAAACTGTCAAATGGTGTGATTTTGAAATAATAAATCTTTCTATTTTTCAAGTTTATAGCATTTAATACGTAAATTGAGTATCTTTTTCCACAAGCCAAACGGCTAATCAGCCAAACCGCATATCCAAAATTCTACCCACAAATTTAATATTGATGTTAAAGTTTCTTTTGATCGTAATTAGTTTATTTTGGTAGTAATTTTAAGTCGTTAAAAATACATATACAAAAATCTCGTCCATAACTTTTTCCAATAATAAGCGCTATATATATCCTATAATCAGCCAATAAATGAAATGATTACACTTAATCCTGGATTAATTCTCGGAGGAGTATGAAATGCATCTGCAGTAAATGCTACTCCGATCTAGCCCCCATCATTTGGCTTATTCTAGCCAGACATTATATTTGCAAACAAAAAATAAAAAATAATTTATGAATAAAACTTTCATATATGTGTTCTTGACGATTTAAAAGCAAAGACTAAAAAATAAACTAAAATGAGAAAACCACAAAATCAACTGAAAATTCAAATTTTCCATGATAAGCAAAATCAACTAAGGCCGTGTTTAGTTCTCTGCCCAAAATTTTTTTAAAGTATACGACACACATTTGAAATATTAAACGTAGACTAATAACAAAATAAATTACAGATTCCGCCTGTAAACTGCGAGACGAATCATTAGCAAATGTTTATTGTAGTATCACATTGTCAAATCATGGCGCAATTAGGCTCAAATGATTTGACTCGCAATTTACATGTAAACTGTACAGTTAGTTTTTTTTTGTCTGTATTTAATGCTTCATGTATGTGTCCAAACATTTGTTGTGACATTTTTAGAAAAAAAAAAAGGAATCTAAACACACCCTGAAACGATGAGCCCGTAAGGTAGCTAGGGTAGCCCCAGCTAGCTAGCTATCACCAGCTGAGCGAGGCTTGCTCTGGAAGCTGGAAGGCTGACTGACTGACTATTCAGCTACATATATACGAGCATATATAAGCTAGCTCGCGAGCTATCCTTTATCTTCTTCTTCTTCTTCTTCTTTAGGAGATCTGCTCATCTGATCGAAATCCAGCTCCCCTCGCGCGCAACTAGCTAATCGCCATTGTTTCCTCTCTTCTTCTCTCGATCGATTTGCTGCCGGCCAGCGAGAGAGCTAGCTAGCTAGCTGCATCGGCGAGCGATCTCCGCGGCCGGCCGGCAGATCGACCGTCAGCTAGCGCCGACGGCTGCAGCGACGACGCGGTCGAACGATCGATCGAGCACATTGTTTCTTGTCGTCTCGTTGACGATCTCCACAGATCGATCGATCGAGCTAATTAAGGCGTAAGATATAATACCAAATGTGAGCTCGATCGATCTGAGTGAATATATATTGATTCCCCCCCCCCCCCAAGTTAATTAATTTGCACTTGCATTATTGTTGCATAAATACTGTCATATACTCATATGCTCAACTATGTATGCATATGCTCGTATATATTATATTAGAGTTAATTGGGGTGTTTTTTTTTCTCCTAGATGCATGTGTGAGTTCATTCATTATTTGGGGTTACCTAGCTAGATATATATGTATCTATAGGAGCATCGATGTGCCATCCAGCATCAGTTCTGGTGTCCTGATCTATTAGTTGAGTACCTGTGGTAAATTAATTAATTTACGTGTAATTAATATATGCAAAACTAACTTCTCAAACTAACATCCAAATATACAAATGATCGTTAGCACAGCTAATTAATTAGTGTAAAAATGTAAATGTATATATACCTGAAAATATATATTTATAATGGTAATATATATGCCATTATAAACCAGACGCCGAAATGTAATTAAGATATATACATAATCAATTGTTTATCGCTTTATTATTAGTTTGGTTTTCTACTGCTAGTCAGAAACCCCCTAATTAATTTGGAACAAGTTAAGCTAGTAGATCACAAGATAGGGTTGGGATATTGCATGGCTTGTCATTTCATACACGAATTCAATGATGAATATAGTATGCTATGTATCATATGTACCGCATGCAAGCATATAGGAAATATATCGATATATATATATACAATTAATTATTAACAACTGGATATCTAGTCCATTTGTAAACATTTGAAAATGGTAGCTGGCAGATCACTCCATTTGATACAATATGATGGCTTGAACAATGTTTTATAGCTCAATCAACATGACATATATATGTCACATATTTAAGTTTGGGTCTGCAGCTAGTGTAAAATAAAAACATATTTTCTTGTACATACACAATGCATGCTAGCTTTGCATCATGGTACATATATTTTATATATTATTCGATGCAATCATAGTTTTATTATGTATTTTTCGGTTTTACTAGCAACTAAAGCTAGTGTCCATGGTACTGAGGGGTTGATTTGTAAACATTATGTAGAAGTACGCTTCTTAACTCCTTTTATTAGAACTTATATTTATATTAAATAATACAATCCATAGGTTTGAACATGTACTTCAATTAACTCCTTTCATTAGAAGTTACTCCTGCATGAATTGAGTTGCAATGATCTTTTTTTTAGGAAGAGAGGCACACTTCTCACATTTCTGTCACTAGAAATGAAGGTTAAAAGACAAAAGTTTGCGAAGACAATTAAATTTGTCATGGTAACTTGGTACCATAAATCCCACCATTCAGCGTGAGAGTCAAATCCACCATTCTGCATACCTAGCAAAGTCTAATTAAGCCAAAGATCCTTCAAAATTACCACACTACATCATTACATCAAAGGAGTTTTTATGCACACATGAGAAGCTCAAAATGAGCTGCATTTCAACTTTCCAACAAGAAGCTTCCAAACAGTGCAGCTAGGGTTTCCTGCAGTTGTCTTGCATTAAGCCCTCAACCATACATTGATCCATGTACTTCACAAGCCACCCGCTTTAATAGTTGCGTCCTGCATTTGCACCTTTCTTTGCTTTTCCTCCTCCTTTTGACCAAGATGAAATCTAGCTAGAAACAAGTGTAGTGTATTAGTTCAATTGGAACATTTGGTAGTTCATTTCGTGCCCGTTTGAAACAAATCATGCATTGAATGAATTATGGCAGTGGATTATCTACTTGCTTATAGGGATAAATTGAATATTTTGATAAATAAAGTTAACAAAAATCTTAAAGCAAGTAGTCTAAGCAATACAAATAGTAGAATATATTTTTTAGAAAGCGTATTTTAGAGGCGTGGAGCAAATAATCTGTGGTAATAATTCGGTGAAATAGCTAAAAAGAATGGGGGCAAACATGTTGCATTTCTTGTTTTCCAGATAGACCAAATGATTGACACCACACCTCCAATAATCATTTTCTGTGTTTCTTTATCAAAATAATGCATCCAGGTCCCAACACATGTGGGCTATATAATTTCCTGGTTTCAGATTAAAGGTACAAGCTACCATGAATTCCAAATAAATATTGCCAAGGGTCACTTTAAAAATAAGTGCTCAATTGTTTCATCATCAGCACAAAATCGGCATTAATTCCTTTTCCCCTTTCTTCTATCCTTTCTTAAACAAGTTATCTTTTGTTACAATACTATTCTTTTGCAATGATCTAAATTGTTACTTGCAATGATATATGTGTTTTGTTCTTCAGGGATGAAGAAGAAAATAGCATGCTGCGCATATTGGTGGCGACTGACTGCCATCTCGGCTACCTAGAGAAGGACGAGATCCGAAGATTCGACTCATTTGATACTTTTGAGGAGATCTGCTCATTAGCAGTTATAAACAAGGTATATCTTATCAAAAAATGAGAACAACGTGTAGCCTGGCTGGTAGAGAGCTACCAGGGGCATGCCATTGGCCAGAGTTTGATCCCCCTCAAACCCAGGTTTTCTCACAATTTTCTTCTCTATCAATACTGGTGCTAAATTTCTCCTTAGTATCCCAACATATTCGAAAAATATCTTATCGAAAATTGATATTAATTCAGTTTTTATTTTTGCCAAGTTAAATATCATCTTATGTTTGTGATGATCAGGTTTATGAGTCGTTTGATTTTTTTAAAATAGTAGAAGAATAACTCCTGGTGTTTGGATTAACGAGAATGCACACCACCATTATATTCCTATGACCTAAAAATACTGAAACAAATGGACCACATCAAGAAAACTTTGTACATAGAATGCAGAGTTTCAGTTTCATAATTAAGCTGAAAATAACAAATGAAAAGCTTCCATCTTCTACCTTAAATAATCCGAGTTGTTTGATAATTGATATGATGGTTGGAGATGCACTGTTAAATTTGCAGGTTGATTTCATCCTTCTTGGTGGGAATTTGTTCCACGAGAACAAACCTTCGATTTCTACGCTGGTGAAGAGCATGGAGATCATAAGAAGCTACTGCCTGAATGACCATCAGGTGCAGTTTCAGGTGGTCAGTGACCAGGCAGCCTGTCTGCAGAACAGGTGCAGTAAATTAAATTATTTGATCTTTTCATGGCTGAATTAACTTCTCAACTTTGTTACTTTATCTCACTAGGCTTTAGCTAATCATCATCTAATTATATATTAAGAAGGCCAAGCCAATTATTTATTCCTGGCTACTGAACTATTATTCAGAACTTAACACATTATGATGTCATTCAGGTTTGGTCGAGTGAATTTTGAAGACCCAAATTTCAACATTGGCTTGCCTGTTTTCACCGTACATGGGACTCATGATGGCCCAGCAGGAGTGGTATGGATAACACATAGTAAATACTATTTGGACAAATTTTGAAATCTCACAAACACTTATGCATTTCTGCTCATGAAAGTATATCCTCAAGGTCTTAATTCTTTGTTCAACTTATAACGAATTTGGTTTCTCTATTTGTAGGATGGCCTGTCTGCCACTGACATCCTTTCTGCTTGCAATTTTGTGAACTATTTTGGGAAGGTTGATCCTGGCAGTTCTGATGTTGATCAAATATCAGTTTGTCCAGTATTTATAAAAAAAGTAAATTTATTTTGTTCTATACACAACTCCAAGTAATCAACAATTGTAAGATAATAATTCTGTGACTTGTGCTACTTGATTCAGGGTGCAACTTCTGTTGCTCTATATGGACTTGGTAACATTCGGGATGAGAAATTGAGCAGGATGTTACAGGTATTTATAATAATAAAAAAAGAGCGCATGATTACGATTTGAAGAATTCTCATGTGTTGTGCACATGGAGATGTTAACTTGTTGATTATGAATAATTTCACATGTATGTGCATATATCGTTTTTCAGACACATTACAAAATACAGTGGATGAAAGCAGACAGTGAAGATGACTGGTTCAATCTTTTTGTTTTCCATCAGAAAAGGTATGCAAAGTGGCTCATGATTATAATTATTCTTTGTTGTCTTTTTTCACTTGCGCTTCCTAGCAACAATTTGTCTCTCTAATTTCGGCAGGAGAAAGGGAAGCTCAACAAATGGCATCAATGAACAGCTCTTGCCAAGTTTTCTTGACTTGGTAATATGGGGCCATGAGCATGAATGCCTAATTGATCACCAGGTAACACATTTTGAGCTACTGCAAATTTCTTACTAATGTTTGTCAAGTGTTATTTTTATTTTTAATCTAGCTAAACTTTGCAGGAGGTTTCTGGAAAAGATTTTCACATTATCCATCCAGGTTCTTCAGTTGCTACCTCACTGAGCAATGCTGAAGCAAAGCCAAAGAATGTTGTTTTGTTGGAAATCAAGGTTAACACTACTGCAGAATGGTGTATTGATCATACTATTTTATCATTGTCTAATCACTTATATATGTTTCCCTTGAATCAGGGAATGCAATACAAGCAAACTAATATACCATTAAAATCAGTTAGACCTTTCCAATATGCCGAAGTAAGCCATTTTCACTCTCTACTTACTTCATGTTTACTTTCAATGAGATGATTCTCATCAGTAGCATACCATATAGGTTCAATTAAAAGATCAATTGGGTGTTGAGCTCAATAACGAAGCAGCTCTTTATGAGCATTTGGATAACATTGTAAGTTTTGAGCCCATAGTTTTTGTTCGAAAAATACTTCTACACAGTTTCTTGATAAACATGGCCAGGACATTGATCATTCAATTGGAGTTCAATAATGATATGTTAAATGGGAAATATCCTATGAAAACGAGCTAAGTGTTGAAAACTCGTGAAAGTCATACCTAAAAGTTTTGTAAATTCACGAAAAAAATACTAGATATAGGTGTATATATGAAATACATTCTCACCAAATTTCAAGTCAAAACTCAACTTTATTTGAGAGAAACAAAAATGACAAATTTCAGATAAATAGTGTCCTGTTAATATTCATTCAAAATTTGTCTTTTTTGTTACTCCCAAATAAAGTTGAGTTTGAACTTAAGATTTGGTGAGAATGTATTTCATATATACACATACCTCTAGTAATTGTTTCATGAATTTACAAAACTTCTAGGTATGATTTTCATGAGTTTCCAACATTTAGCTCGTTTTCACTGAATGTCTGAATATGTCCTCATGTTAAATGGGAAATATGTTAGAAATTGGATGTTTGCGAATTGTAGTTTTCAGCAGTACTATTGAATACAGAGTTATTTCAGGTGAGCAATCTTATCGATAAAACAGCAATTAGTGGATCAGAGCCCAAACTTCCCCTAGTCAGAGTAAAGGTAAAATAGGGTGCTCTTCAGAAAATATTACCTTCCTTTAAAATATTGTATAAATTCTTTATGTCAAATTTCTGAAGGTGGACTACTCTGGGTTTTCGACAATAACTCCACAGCGGTTTGGTCAGAAGTATGTCGGAAAGGTACCTCAACCACTAATATGAAATTTACTGATGCATACCTCCTTTATCATATACTTTTTTTTTATTGAATCCTTTATCATATACTTTAACTGGTGTATTCTTTACAGGTCGCAAACCCAAACGACATTATTCTCTTCTCAAGATCAGCTCAACAGAATCGAACACGAGGTACCTGTTTATGTTTCATGAAAAATGGGAATATACTTCAGGTTAACTGCACTAAAATAATTAGGAATTAGGAACAATTTTGATATTAATTGACTGGAAAAATGCATCTTAATCTTTGTTGAGTAATGTGTTGTTCACTCTCTCTTTATATTGCAGAACACACTGGTAGTTCTGAAGAATGTGAACCAAATGAGCTAGATCAGCAAAGTATTGAAGAATTAATTGCAGAGAGTAACTTGGTACTAATTTAACATTCTCCTGGTCTAAGTCTAGTAGTGTATCATGTTGGTGTCCTTTTAATTCATGGTGGCCAGGTCTATTTTGCTTCAGATATCCATTCCTTTAGATAATTCCAGGTTAGTGGAAACAAATAAAAATACACTGGCGCATTTAATCCTTCTTTTACAGAATATGCAGATTCTTGACAAAAATGACCTAGACAGTGCACTGCATGATTTTGTCAACAAGGACGAGAATATGGCGTTTCATTCTTGTCTGGACAAAAATATTGATGCAGCAAAAGTAAGATATTACCATCATATAGTTCCATTCAGGATATCTCATATTTGCAATGAAAAAACTGTTTGCTTGGGATTGCAGAAAAAGTTGACGTTTGCAACAAAGGATTTGAAAGCTGAAGAAGATATAGTACTTCAACTGGATCAGTGTATGCAGGTACAGAGGAACTCTATTTCTGCATATACTAGATTTGATTTCAGCCAAAAATAAAGATAGCGAAAAAGGGTGTTGTTAATTCTTACTCCATAGGAGCGCATGAATGAAGATCCCCTCCTCTCCAAGGGAGGATCAGAAATCATGCCGTGCTCTCAGAGCCTGCCAACGAACGCGCTCAGCGCGTTTCAGGAATTGAAGTGCTCATCAAATGAGGAACAAGATACTCATGAATCAGATGAACTTATCGAAATTTCTGTATGCATTGTTTTCCTCTCTTGTTGCAAATATCGTCAACCAGTTGTAGGCTTGTAGCTCAATTCTAGTATCATTGCCAAATGTCATCTTGAACTGCTTTTGCTGTTCCATGATCAAGGACAAGGAGCACTCTCAACAAGCAAGCCAGAAGAGGCCAGCTCCTGTCGATGGAGGCTCTCAATCTTCAAGGAGAAAAACAGACTTGAGTTCTTTCTACCGTACCGCACCGTCGAAGAACAATGATGATGGTGGCAAGAAAGGCAAAGCTCCTGTAAGTAAAATTCTCTGCAGCTTTGCCTCTCTGTTGTCACTATTTTGTAGTAGTCAGCAACATTCAGATGGATATATTCAGAACTACATTCAAGTTATCTCCTGTAACTGCTATGTACAGGTTATCTGAAGATATTGCTCTCTGTCTAGCAGATAGCAGGCAGATATGGAGCCATAAGAAGAAGATGAGATTAGGATGGGAATGAGATCAATGGCCAAAATGGATAGCTGATGCAAGCCTTCAGCTACATTCTATTCCTTTTGAGAATTTAATTGAATCTTTATATATATCTGAATCTGTATGTATTATCCGGTTCATCCAAGGAGACTAGACTAGTTTGCAATTACTGAAACAAAGAATGTGATGACCATCTTGTTAGTTGGGTTCCTAGCTCTAGCAAGCATCTATGGCAACTCACCGAGCAAACAGCAGAATGGGCGGCGCCGCCATGGCCTGTCCACCTGGCCGCCGGCGCGTGAGATGCGGCGGCGGCGGCGGCCAACCGGCCATCTTCCTCCTCCCTCGATCTCTGAGTTTCCACCGCGGAGCGGCACTCCCCTCGCCTTGGTTTGATTGGACTGAGTGGTGTAGAACCCAGTGACTCCTAGAAGCGAGCTCTGGCGGCGCCGTGGCTTCACGGCGCCCAGGGGGGGGGGGGGTCTCCGGCGAGCGGTTCGGTCTCCGGCGAGTTGCCGCCACCGGGTGCTACCGATAAGTGGGCCTCACGATCCCACTCGAGCACGCGACTGGTTTAATTCCGAAGAGACCCTCGAACTACACCCGTATTATCAATCTACTCCACCCGTGACAGGATCTCGACCGTTCGATCTCCCCTGTGCGGCTCAGATCAAAACCCGAGGCGATGGGGAAGAGAGATTTTGCAACGAAACCCTCCTTTTATCCCGCTCTTACCAACGGGTCCCCAGACCGCAGGAAGACGAGGAGGGCGGCGAGCCGGCGACCATGGCGGCCGCCGGCCGGCCGGATGGACGGGATGCGGCGGTGCGGGAGGCCACGGGAGTCCCGGAGGTGGATGCCGGGGAGTTCAGTTTAGTCGGAAAGATCAGATCCTGGCGGGACTGTTCAATCGCTCTCCAGGTCTCTGTCTTCTTTTTGTTCCTCCTGATTTGTATGGAATTGGGGGATTTATGAATTTATCCATACCCAATCGTGTTTCCATCGTGTGTAGTAAGTTAAAATCAGTTTATTTTAACCGCGACGATTTTTTTTAATTATGTGATTTCACCATGAATTGCAACTAAGGATTGCACTGTCCTTGTTATTGCCGTGTTCTTGGGCTCACCTAATTGTGAAGAAAAGCAATTGCAGACGGGATTTAGTTGTTAAATTTATATTGGAGCTGCTTTTATGCTTGTTATGGTTGATATCAATAGTGAGTGATCAAGATCTGAAGAAGGTCACGCCATTATATGCTGCATATAATTGAATTTTGTTAGGTTCAGCAACAACAGCAACAACATTTGGGCTTGCACGCTTCTAAACACAATAAATAATGCATACACTTTTTCTTGTGCGACTTGTATTTATCTATGTGAATGCTCATTAGTTTCTTGATGTTATATGTAAATCTGAATGGCAATAGTTAGCTAGTTCTTTTTGTTTCTAGACATTATTTTGGCCTAAAATTGTTCACTTTGTGCTTGTAATTAGTTGCGTTGATGTCCCATAATCTGCATTGTGGTCTGTTCCATGTCAAACTTGTTGTCACACTGATACATATTTCTTAACAAGTTCTGGATGTGACATGTCAGTAGTTTCTTAAAAAACTACCAAATTTTTTTGTGGGCTGGAGTAATTTGAGTTTCGACAATGGAGTGGTGTTCACAAAATTTGCTTGCAGTGTTCATGAGGTGCAGGGTGATTTTTCCGGTACCCAAATGTTCCAACATTGTAGAAAATTTATGATGAGCTATTGAGTTACTTGTAAAACTGTTTTCTCAACAAAATAAGGTATAAAATCATTGTGTTACCATGTCCATATAAGACAACAACCAATCATGATGTTGTAGAAAACATGTTATACGCTGTTCTGAGACATAAATTCATCAGTACATTTTCTCAGCTACTCCTGGGCCTTCGTTTCTCCGAGATTTTCCAGCATATCAAATAGCATTGGTGTTCACAACTGCTATAAAAAATCTAGGATATTCCCTTCAGGCTTCAGCCATGGTTTCTGTCATTGTAGTGCAGTGAATTTTCAAATCCAAAACTCACTCTGGGATTGATGTGGCATCTACTTACTTTTCTTTTGTAACTTCACTACTACTATTAGTAGTTGCAGAATCGATCATCTTCTTCTTGGATCTGGTCTTCTTCTTCTTGGGTCTCTTATTCTGTTGTTGAGTTCCATCATCATTTACAGACATATTGGGCTTCACAGCAGCAGTACCACCAGCCATGTCTTCCACAGTTTGTTTCAATCCGTTTTTATTGGCATCACCTAAGCTATGCTTGGATATCTTTTCCAAACTACCATCAATACTCTTTTTATTCTTGGTTTCACCAGAAACTTTATCAATTTCCTTCTCCAACAGTTTATTGTACCTGACGCGATCACTGTCCTGGTCTAGGGAGTTCCCTGGGTGTTCTATCCTATGCAGTTCTTCATCTTGGCTGTCTACTCCACTGTTAGTCAAAAACTTTTTGTTCCGCCGAGGAAATTCGATCTTCTTTGAATGACTTTCCCCGTAGATATCATCAATATCTTCAATGGCATCATCTGTTTTGTCTTGTAAGCCATCTTCTTCCTTGCTAGTTGCAGATTTCACTTGCTTTTCTTCTAAAGATGTGTCTTTTGGGTGTCTACTTTCTGCTGTTGTGGTATTCTTAGAACTCTTTTCTTCTGCTCTAGTGGGTGTAGCATCACTGGAGCTTGTGACCTTTTCGACTACAGCATTGTCAGGTCTTGCATTTGCGTTGTTTGATTGAACATGAGTGCTCTTACTGCCGACGCTCTTCCGTTCCGTTGTCTTGTAATCCTGGAACCTGACCTTGATCTCTTCAAGCTCGGCTTCCTTCTGCTGCAGGAGCTCCATCAGAGCTGCCATCTGGTCAGGATTTGTGCCTGCGGCTCTCTCTTCCATTTGTCTGATGTGGCTGTTTTTATCTGTGAGAGTTGCTTCCATTTGACTGACGCGGCTATTTTTCTCTGCGAGAACTGCTTCCAGTTCTTTCTCTCTGTTCTTCAGAGTTGTGGCTGTGGCTTCTAGTCCTTTGATCTTCGTTTTCAGGTCTGTCTTCTGAGTCCTTAGGGAAGATGTTGTGGCCTTCAGTTCTTCCAACTTCCTCTTCATCTCCTTGTTAAACGCCTTCTCTTTCTGGAAGGATAATGTAGCAGTGTTCATGCAGTTAGCTACTCATTCACGGGATAATTGTTGAATTAAAACAAAAACAGAAGCTGGCCAGGCCAAATAATATTTTGCTACGCACACTCTTACCATCAAACCATTTTTCTGGAACACAGTTCATACAAATTAGCAAATTTCTAAATAGTAAATGAATAAATGTTCGGAACACTATATTCTTAGTTACATGGACTGTGGGAAGCACGAAGAAAACATAACCTAGTTTTTTTTAATAGATGGTTGTCAGTCACAAACAGGTTTCAGTGTCGCAATTACATATTAATTGGGGGTAATTCAAGTAGTGTGTAATGCATAGCGCTCTGATTTACATACCCTTGAAAAGAAATGGTCTTGTCTGGCGATACTGGGACTAATTTTTCACAGATTATTTATAAGGTCTAGCACTGAACAGAATGATGTTCAGTTTAGCATTCTCAATGGTAAGAATTCAAAACAGAGCACCCTAATTGTTACAGTTGACAGACTTTATGCATCGGGAAGTAATGCATAGTTGGCTCGATTCGGTTCATATTATGCTTCGAGCCCAAAATTGTGTTGCTAATATTGTTCAATACATAAGTGTCTGCATTAAAATTATGCATTTCAGTAATGTCACAAATATAAAATAAGTGCACATTTCAGAGTCAGCAAATGTACTTGCTGGTATTGTTAAAACTCCAACTCCAAAAGGACGTTCTTGTGCAGTGAGAAATGGTCTTTTAACACCAATATATTGAATGCTGTAGTTAAGTTTGGTGATCATGGTCAAGATTTGTGATTTAAAGGAGATCATCCTATTAGAGAGAGAGAGAACAAAGAATGGTTACGGTTTGTTAGTAAGAACAGCTTGTCAGGTCGTCAACTGCTTTAAACTTGTAAAACTTTACTCTTTTTAAGATATTTTTAAAAATATATCATTTACTTAATTTTTAAAAATTTGGAGTTTGGTTGTGAGGAAGAATAATTTCCTTTGCACCTTCTAGTTATTACAAATAACAACTGAGATATGACCATCTGGTATATGCTTCTTTGTTCGCTTAAACAAGACACCTCAGAAACTAACAGGTTTGCAAGACATTGTGCAATGCAGGTACATGGAAATAGCAGTAAAGTGCATCATGATCCATCACCGTACCTGGAGGAGGATCCGCGTGGAGATGAGCTGCCGGTCGCGCTCCCGGAGAAGAACAGCAAACGCGCGGCGCTCCCTGACCTTGTGCAGGACGACGACGCTGAGCGCGGCGGCGGCCAGCGCCAGCAGCAGCAGAAGGACATAGGCAACCTTCTTGCTGGCACCGACCATGGCAGAGCCCTTCGCCCTGTACTTGCTCCCATCCATCACCTTCACCTTCACCTTCTCCTCTGCACGCCGCACCAGCTGCTCCCGTTTGCGCCGCCTTCTCGCAGTGATCCCTTTGCAGGATCTTGGAGGAGCTCTACCTTGTTTGGAGCAAATTGTGAAAGAAGCTAGAGCTGGAGCTGGAGCTTCTTTCTTGGGTTTGGGAACACTATAGGGCTTTGGAGACTACCTTGTGCATGGAGGAGGGAACAGAGATGAGCCTTTGAGGTGATGCACTCATTTGCTGATCGATGCACATGACCTTGAAGTACTTCTAGGGGAGTTTGAGGAGGAGGGGATCGAGAAAATTAGAAAGATACACGAAATGAGGTGAGCTATTAGCTCGTGATTAATTGAATATTAACTATTTTAAATTTTAAAAATGGATTAATATGATTTTTTTAAAGCAATTTTCCTATAGAAAATTTTTACAAAAGAACACACGGTTTAATAGTTTTGGAAGCGTGCGCGCGGAAAACGATGTGTTTTCTCCCTCAATGTCACTAGAACTGTGGCATAAATAAAAAAAAAGATCATAGCCTTAATAAAAAAAATAAAAGATGTTCTGTCCATTGACTTGCACTTACTGCAGAGTATTAGCTACGGGAGGGATTACTACTGACTGCATATGGATGGTCTAATGATGCACCGGATGGTCCAGAATGAGCTAAGCCATCTGAAGGTTCAAAATGTGCAAGTAGGAAGTGCCGTTTTTTTTAGTTTGTAGAAATTGATTGGAAGTGTATTGTCAGTCAAACCGGCTATCTTGCGGTAATGTAACTTCTTCCTCCATCCAATCTTGTGAAAAGTCAACATTGATCATAATATTGGCATTAAATGAGATTCTTCTTCTATGCTTCTCAGATCTCCAGGCAAGATGAATAAATCTATTCATGGAGCAGCAGGCAGCAATGTGAGTGCTCCACCATGAATATATTAGACCTAGGCAGGATCCATCAAAGACGTGCGGATTTGTTAACCATGGCTAGCTAGTATAGCTAGTTCCAAAGTCCAAAGAGTTGCCAAGAAGAGAAGAACACAGCTGGTTGCTTTAATAGTTTGCTCCCTCTGGCTCTATATAATTCTTGATGTTTTAGTCTTTTAGACATGGTTGAAGTCAAATAATTATAACTTTGACTATCAATAACTTTTAAAATATTTAGTTTGTAGACACTAGAACAAGACATATAGATTACTATTAAAAAATACTTTGATAAAATTAAATATTTACTGTTTTTTCTGTATTATAATAGAAAAAATCATAGTCAAAAATATGTTTTGGAGAACTTATCGTTGTCCGAAACGAGTACTAGCTTATTACCATGTGACTCTGATGTGAAATTTTTACTTTTTACAAGATGACATGGTGACTTGAGATGCAGCATGTGCAGGCTCCATTTTGCATGCATATGGATACTCAGTAGTAAACTACAGAGCAACAGTTTAATGGAGTATGTCACAAATGGCCAACAATGACATAAGCACAACTGCAATCTGCAATGGAAGGTGAGTATATGCATGCTTGCACGGCCATCTCTTCTAGGTGGCTGAGAGCAAGTATAATAGAGGGCTATAAGAAAGCTGAATGCTGAGGTGGATGAGAGAGGAGAGGAGAGAGATGAGAAGCGGGTTGTAAGTTTACAGCCGGCTTAGGCACAAGAACCAATAAAATCTGTGAGACAGACAGGTGGACTATATATTTATAGTGAAAAGTTAACCACTATATAAGTGAGCTGATAGATAGGCTATAAGTAAGCAGTTGGTTTTATTATTATCCTTGCTCTGATGGGCTGCATGTTGATTCTGCTGCGTCGGTGAAATGAACCCAAGAACATGGCAGGCATCAATCAACATTCCTTGCATCATGAACTGGCTAGTTGAGTCTTGTGGGTGGCTCTATGCGAATTCAGGGAAAATAGTGTCCCAAAGGTCAAGTCTAATATTTCTTGATGGATTAAAGATTTGTAATTGCAACGAGTTTCAGAGTTCAGTTCCAATTTGGTGGGAAACTGGAGAAAAAAACTTGTTAAATGTTGATTTCCATGCTTTGTTCATGTGTATCTCACTGGACGCTGCTTTGCTGAAATGTACTTTACCTGTATCTATCACAGGTTCAGAACCTGTGATTGTGAGGCATCATGTGAATAAAGGAGTGATTTTACAAGTTGGAAATGCATCCGCCAGTTCCCTTTTTGTTCTTTTCTGCAATTCCAAACGGAAACATCCAAACTCTTTTTTTCAAAAACTTTTTATATATATTTTTTTAAAAAAATAAACCCCATTTCAAAGTTTGTAATAATTAATATCATGCGCTAATGGCTTATCCCGTTTTTTAAAAATGTAAGCTAAATTCCAAATTCGAACTAAGCCTTAGATCTGAAACTGTTCCAGTTGCAACCACTAACTTTATATTTCTATCTTAGCGAAATGAAAGCTGGGTCTTTTGCACGTTCTGAAGAAATATAATCAGATTTTATTTTAACGACGGAAAGAGGGGCGAAGCACACAGAAAACCAAACGTGTCAAAACAAGTTGCAACTCTGAAGAAAGCACAAAGATACAAATCCATCAGCATCATGCAATGCACTTGACTCCTCCAGCTGACCCTCCCAGTGTTCCAGGAAGAGGCTATTTTAACCTGAGTTTTTTTTCTTAGGAAATAGTATTTGAGTCAATACTTTTGACCGATGACTCCATCAGAAATTCAATTCAGACACATGTCAGTTTTCAATTCCTTGGCTGCCAAGCCAATTCTTCCTTTCTGCTGCATCATCAACCACTACAAATAACAGACTTCACTACCTGGTTTTTTCAGTCACCTGAACTCCTGAAGCAGGCAAGCAATTTGTCACTCTGTTCTTGACAAGAACACAAGAAAAAAAGCAGCAGTTTTTTCTCTGCAGCAATGGTGTACGAAGCAGCTGTGGCCAGTGCAGCAAGAAGCCATGAACATCAGGTGAGGAAGGAGAAGAAGCTGAAGCAGATTGGATGCAGCATCCTCTGGGCTTTCAGGAGGATCTACCCAACAGCCTCCAGCGCCTCAGGGAAGAAATGATTGAAGGTTATCATGCTGTGACAGTTGCATCATGATGTAAATACATACATAACAGGTCAAAAGACTTTTCTTTTCTTTTCATAGATGACAATGTTAACTTTTCGATACTCGTTTGACCATTAGTCTTATTTAAAAAAAATTATGTAATTATCATCTATTTTGTTGTGAGTTATTTTATCACTAAAAATATCTTTATGTATTTGCATAAAATTTTTAAATAAGTTGAATGGTTAAATGTGTAAGCATTGTGATTGTAGCCACGAAAGAATGGAACATGGTGTACAATGAATTGTTGTTGTAGTCATGGATCTTTTGATACAACATCCAGGTGATGATGACATGATGTATCATTCAGAAGCACTTGATTACAGTTCGGACTTGTGAATGATAGTGCAGCACAGGAAATGAACCACCAACCTAGGCCCTGTTTAGTTTCCACGCAAAAACTTTTCACTCTGTCACATCGAATGTTTGGACACATGCATGAAGTATTAAATATAGACAAAAAAACTAATTACACATATTGTGTGTAAATTGCGAGATGAATCTTTTAAACCTAATTGCTCTATGATTTGACAATGTGGTGCTACAGCAAACACTTGCTAGTGACGGATTAATTAGGCTTAATAAATTCGTCCCGCGGTTTATCGGCGGAATCTGTAGTTTGTTTTGTTATTAGTCTATATTTAATACTTTAAATGTGTATCCATATATCTGATGTGACACATCAAAACTTTTTGCCCCTGAATCTAAATACATACCTACTCTGTTGATTGCCAAAAACCAGAGGATCGTGCAACTTCCTGTTGATATTATGAGGTGATGGGTGTGCGGTGCTGGATCTAGCAACGTTGCCTGACCCTCTCACAAACCACAACGGCTAGTTTCCAACAGTTATAACACAAGAATTACTCCCAAAATCCTACAAATATAGCAACCTAGTATTGTCTATGTTCAGATTTCTAGTATTAGGATGTGTCTAATCAAATAATAGATCGGTGTATTTTTGGACAGAGAGGTAATAATCAATTCTGGCATACAACAAATGTAGAATGAAACTATAAACAAACTTTTCTCTCTCTCTCGTTCATCTTGCTTGGCCTCCTACGCTCTTTGTCATCCATACAATAAGCAAACTTGGTGACAGCTGATTGTACATCACTCCAACAATTCACGAGAGAATTATGATTGCGATCCAAATAGATCGAATTTCTTGTGCTCAAGGAAATAAGAATGAATCATGATCCAATAGCTAGAGCAAGGTTGTTTGTTACCAGTAACTAGGATGTGTCTAACCCAATACTAAGTTGCTATATTTTTAGACAAAAAAAGTAATAATCAATTTCAACATACAACAAAATATACCAAGAAACTAGAAACAAACCTCATCTCTCTCGTTCATCTTGCTTGGCCTCCTACGCCCTCTGTCATCCATACAAGAAGCAAACTTGTTGACAACTGATTATATATCTCTCCAATGATTCATGAGAGAATCATGATTGCGATCTGAATCGATCGAGTTTCTTGTGCTCATGGAAATTAGAATGAATCACTATCCTACAACTGATGAAAATTTCCCCCCAAAATTTCTTGCTGCAGAACGGGAATCTTAGATCCATGATGGAAGAAAAATCTGGCATCTTCTAATGCACGCACTTATGCACAACTAATCTTCTACTTTAAGCGGTTCAATGGTTGAACCACACATGGTTTGTCTGTTTAAGTATTCATTACCTTTTGTAGCATTTCAATCTGAGCTCGCTTGACGGCGGAACTTTCTAAGTGTTGTGGTCCTTCTTGAGGGCATTGGTAAGGCACCCAGTTCTCTCCTTGGTGGGAACCCCTGAGGGAAAATAGGGTTCAGAACCCTTGGACGAGCGACAGCTATGCTCTTAGCATCATATCCTTCTTGAAGGCGCCATCTAGCGGTCCCGTTTCTCGCATTCTCTGTCTCAACTCTCAAGCAAATGGGGTATTTTTTGTAAGGCGGCGGGTTTGTATGAGGGACGAGTGGATCTTCTTCTCTCTCTTCTCTCTCGCCTTCTCCCTCTGCAACCCTTCTCGCGGGTGTGTCCAAAAGATCGTGATTTCAGCTGTTTAGAGGCATGAGGCAAGAGCAGGTGGGTCAGTGACAGTTTCGTGGTAGGTTTGGTGGCGTTCGGTCACGCATAGTGGTGTCACATTCGGTACCCGTCTATTGGTGTGTGTAGGAGATGTCAGCATGTGGTGATGTGTTTTTTTCCTTTTTCCTGATTATAAGCCTCCCAAGGTTATAGTCTTGCAATTTTTTTTGCTATATCAATATGAAACATTGCACTATTTTTGTGATATTCATTTTTAAATAAAACAAGCTTGGTCAAATGGAGGCGGAGGTGACATCCGCAATGGAGCTTTAGGGAGGCACCAACACCGAAGGGGAGACTTGTACAAGGCGAAGCTTGAGGAGACGTTGAAGGTGGCGATGCTTGAAGAGGATCCTCGTGGTGCACGGCACGACGGCGTTGGCAGCAGCGCTTCTTGTGAGTAGGTATCACTGGCTAGGTTTGGGTAGCCATCCAACCTATTACCCACATAAAAACCCCCTTGAAGACACTAAGGCCCTGTTTGTTTCAGCTTAAGATTATTGTAATCTAGATTATTAAATTAGATTACTCTAAGCTGAATTATAATAATCTGACATAAAATAAGCTACGAGTTATTTGTTTCTCTGGATTATTAGAGGCATCTAAGGGTAGTGGGTCTTTAGCCACTCAACAATCTAAAAAAAGCTCCTCTAGAGGAGATTATTGGATTATAGTAATCTGGCTTATAGATTATAATAATGTAGCATAATAATCTACTTGTTTGTTTCAACTTACTCCTAGTAATCTAGATTATAATAATTCTAAGCTGAATCAAACAGGGCCTAAGTAGGGCACCTGAGTTCAGGAACATATAAGAAAGGATGGACCTCATCAAACTCAAAGACACAAACACCATACATCCATCAGGATCAGATGCTTTCGCCCCAAGAAATTGGGTCGGGAATGGCAAGTTGGGCTGCAGAAGAGCAAATGTCAAGACGTCGCCTCACTAACATGGTGGGCCCCAACCTCGGTATCTGATAGCTACGTCCACGGGATCGAGGCTAGGGGCTACCGTTGGTAGAGTGGGTAACATAAGTCCATTATATCACAACCATCATAAAAGAGTAAAAGTCTCATATCCCAAACCATGAACCACTATCTCATGTACTTGTATATTGTTTCAGTCCCAATCCAAATGTATATCCAAACACAACCAAAGGGGTTGTTTGGATGAGGGCAATGAAACTGTTTTTTTTTTCACTTAAAAACAAGATTTGTTTCTATTTAGAAGAACAACAATTGTTATTATATTAGTTCTATCATTACCATATATGGATGAGCAAAACTAAATTTTGGTTTAGCCAATAGCATGTTTGGCTGATGAATGCTACTTGATTGATTAAACACTCATCACTTTCCTATTTCTAGTACGACAATTCATCATCTTTGCATGCTAACTATATGAATTACCCAGGTTTATATATTGAGACGTAGGAAGTATTTATTTATTATTACTCCTCTGACTTAGAGTCAGGCTGATCAGAAACACAACGGGAAGTTTTCCTGGTTAGACGGGCTCCACTAATGCATTGATTACGCACCCGCATTACAACCATACGTGCAAAGGACGATGAAAGAGTTACTTTGGATGTACTACTTTGTAAATTTAATAATACCTATAGCACAACACTACTAGAGGATTTAACTTTTTCCACTCTTCACCACACATCCATTTTACCCCTCTCACATGAGTAGCAAATCTTTTACCACTCCACTCCTCTAGAGTGGTAAAAAGTAAATATTCGAAACACTTGGTGGTGCACATGATATTCAGCTCTTCCTCTCCCCTCTCTAAGGGATTTAACGTTTTGACACTCTTTATCATATTGGTTTAATCTCTCACAACACTCTTCCTTAATGATAAATCTATTGTCACTCACGTATTCATAGTGATGATTGGCCCTTATTCATATGCTTATCCGAACATCTTATTACTAACTAAAAAATAATTTGTGGTTAAGCCTTTTATACATGTGTCGTTAG